GGCCCCCCCCCCCCCCAGAACCGCCCCTGGCTGTGAACACACCAAAAAGTGGGAAATTCCGCCAATAGATCTAGTAACTTCAAAAACGTTACTGCAGTGCGAAAACACCTATAATTACCCTTTTCTTTTGGTATCTTGGAGTATCATGAAAAACCATATGCATGGTTATCAGTCAGTACCATAGTGTTTGTCAAAGTTCAATGGCATTAATTACTGACAGCATCACTATACTATTGTACTGCCACGGTACTTTTTTGTAAGGAAAGGTTGAGAATGTTTATGCAGATATGTATAGTTACCTTGAAAGTTGGACTTATTGGGTTTAGAGGGTTAAATGGATCATCGCCATCTGTAGGTGTGATGTTGAGATTCTTCATTCTCTTCTCCGCTGCTTCCATTCTCCTCCTCTCAATGTCCTCCTTCATCTGTCTCTTGTCCTCCTGTAATTAATACAAATGATACGTGACTATGTTTTATGCAAACCCTACTAAATAATGTTCTACTACTGGAAGGAACATAGATAGTTTAAAATTCCCACCAAAATAAAAAGTTATATCATGACAACTCGCAGAGGGATTGGCATGGTAATGTACATGACAATGTTGATGTGTTTGATCTTGGCGGAATAGATCTGCTACGCTGCTGCTGCCCATACATCTACAGACATGCTGCTGTGAGCATGTAAGAAATACTGCTGATGCACATATAACATATATGACATAACCACCATATATAAATACATATACATGAAATCACCCTGTAGCAGATCTATAAAGGTGGAGCAGGGTGAGGTGGAGGGTTTCTAAAGCGTGCTGCAACTGCTACAGCAAGCACTAGCCATGTATTTGAATGTTAAGCAACAAGCTCATTGGCTGCTGATACAAAAAGGATCAATCAGCTGCACCATGTGATAATGATGTCATTATGTCAGATTGAGTTAGACTTATCGAACTGCGCCATCTAGAGTTTCATGCCAGAACTTTGGATTTAGACGAATAGAAATCAGCTCAGTCACCTCTTTTTTGGCTAGTTTCTGCTGTTCCTCTTCCTCTCTCTTCTGCTCCTCCTCTTCACGAGCCTTGCGTCGTTCCTCTCTCTTCTTCTTCAGTTCCTCCAGCTCCAGCTCAGCCTCGGCCTGACGCTGCCGTAGCTGCTCCATTCCTTGGCTCTCCTTCTCCTGGTGGCTACGTCTGATCTTCTCCAGCTTCAGCTCGGTCTCCAGACCAGCGTCCATGTCCTTCTTAGTCTCAAAGACCTGATCTACATCTACAGTCCTGCTGGAGAAGAGTGGAGAACAGAAAAACGGGGTTAGTCTCAGACAGCATGTTGGTCATTTCTATGAAACAATCAGTAATTATTACTATTGCACCAGCAGATTTTCTGATCAGTCATACATTACTTTATTATTTTTCCACACAGATCTATCTCATATATACTTAAATGGCACATAAAAATAAAACAAATTGTGATTGGTCAGTTTACCTTTAGTGAGACTCTGCTAAGTGGATAGTTCTTGGCCAGAATAAGCCGAAAAATGGGCCAGAAATGACGGTATTAGTTAAAGGGCTGGCTATACGAGACCTTTAGATAGATATAAACTAACTCCCTTAACAGCCATTTTAGAAACTTCCTGGCACAACTTTTTTGGCAGCAAAAATATTAGGTCACGTCTATATATAACACATATGACATAAGCCTCTAATTTTAACAAGACCAAATTCTATGCTTATTTTTCCCCCTAAAGTCAACTTAAAATGTTAGTCCTTTCCTCAAATCATTATTATTAATCAAAAATAATAACTGTCATCAAAACAATTATTTTGTCAATAATTAATTTTCCCTTTATTTGACTCTTACGGTTAAACAGGCTGTATTTTAAAAATAGTGACTAATAATATATACTATTATTTATTTATTTGCTTTCTCATTAGTGTAATGCACTATAACAACAAAGTGACAGTAAAGGCATTTATAATGTTACAAAAGTTTTCTATTTCAAATAAATGCTGTTCTTTTCAACTTTAAATTCTTCAAAGTATCCTGGGGAAAAAATGCATCATGGTTTCCACAAATATATAAAGCAGAAATGTCTCTTGAGGCACAAATCAGCATATTAAAGTGATTTCTGAAAGATCATGTGACACTGAAGACTGGCGTAATGATGCTAAAAAAAATCAGCTTTATAATCATAGGAATGAATTGCATTTTTTTTTTTATTGTAATAAAATTTCACAAAATTATTGCTTTACTGTATTTTTTTCAATGGTACACACACACACATTCATATATATACAGGCTACATACATACATACATATATGGTTTTGATTAAACATACACGCAAAGTGCACAGTGTCACTTACAATAATAGGAATTATGGAAAAATGTGCTTATTTGTCATGAAAAAATTGTGATGATCCTTAAAACAGGCTTCATTATGATTGATTGATTGATTGAACATGTGACCTAAACATATCTTCATAAGATTTCCCCAAAAACCTACAGATGAGAAAGTGCATGGAGACAAGTTACCTGGGTGATCTTTTGGTTTTGACCAGATGTGATGTAATTTCCTCTGCAGCTGCCTCTCCATTGCCATTAGGCATTCTGTCTTGCTGTAGGAATACTTTCGATGTATATGACACCTTCATCTCCTTCCTCTCCTCTTTCATCTGTGAGTGATGGTATTGATTTAGACATAGTTGATTTAGTACATGATATGATGCTCTGTACTTCTAATACTGTACTGTACTAATTCCCGTGGCACCTTGTTCTCCATCTGTGGTGTTATTTCCTGTTGTCTTCTTTTGCTGTCGTCATGCCATTCCTCTGATCTCGGGCTGCTCACCCTCTCACTGATCTCCATTCGTCTCTCAGGGCTCCTCCACCTATCTGGTCTTTTCTCCTCATCCTCTCTGTCCTGTATTTGCTGATACTGTATAGAAGTGGTGAAGCTGCTTTTGTCACTTTGTCTAGATCTCTCATTCACGTCTTTCTCCTCCTGTTGTAACTGTTCTCCACTGCTGTTCTCGGCCATTCTGGACCTTGTTCTCTGTCCCAGCTTTTGGGTCCAGTCACTGAAACCTTCATCCTCATCCACAGCAGTCGAACTGCTAGGTTTGAATTCACTTTCATAGCTGAAAAAACATCAACAACACATTATATACTTATATACATAAGTACATACAATCTTATATGAGCCATGGCTTAGCAGTTAGTGCATGCGCATTGAGCTGTGGCGCTCGTATAGGAAATGAAGATTTGAATCTTGCTTTTAAAATTAAACTAAAAAAGTTGTTTATTCTTAATCGCTATAACATTTTCTAAAGCTTGCCAGAACTTTACTGTAGCAACATTTTACAAGTTGCAAGTTTTACAGATTAAAATTTTTATTTAAAGTATAAAATGTATTTCACTAACTGAAATAATGTTAATGTACCATATTACTAAAATTGAGGTAATTTTGTATCTTGAGGTAAATTCTATTCTGAGGCTATATATAGAATGACAAAAGACCATAATAACACACAACACAAAAATAATGCAATAAACATTCGTTTAACAACATAAGATGTAACATAAAACCTAATGTATGTACACAACTAATAGTAATGACTAAAAAGATGCAGTTATTTCAATAAAAAGCCATCAAATTTGAGCTGTCACAGAGAATTTAAGGAATGTCAATTTATGTTTTTTCACTGTAAATTATAAGATTACTTTTTCTTTTATGCATCCAAACACCAAACATTTTACAGTATTTTACATTGAATATCCCATTTGATCTATTACAGTTTTTTCACTGTATAGAGTAAGGGAACTTACTAACATGTTTTATCATATTTTTTTTTTAATTAAAATATATTAAATATATAATTAACTTGAACTCAATTTGCAAAATAGGTCAGATATACTTAATCATGCCCTTCAAAAAATGAACTGCCTTTATAAAGACGTACATAGAATTTTTATAAGTGTGACAGTATTACAATTTCAGAAATATGAAATATATAAACGAATACGAAAACGTCCATATGCACACAAAAAAATCCTGAATGCATTCCACTTTATAAATATTTACAGCTTTATTACATAATGTGAACAAGCACATCAACTCCATCTACAGAATGCCCACAATACAGTTAGAAAATCATACTGTATATAATTAATAAATTAATTTTAGTGACATAAATATCACAAAGCAGTTGCTCATTTGCGCATTCATTAATGTATATTTATCTTTACATTTTTAAAAACAATGTTTAATTATTTTAATTACTGGTACATGCAAGCGCAAAAAAAAAAGAAGGTTTGCACACATGCTCTTTAGCTGCTGTATGCATAACATTTACATGTTAGTTTTTGCCTTTATAAATCCCGATTTGTTCCTTACTTTTCACATAGGCTGAAATCTATGGAATTTAGAATCAACTTAGGCCCAGATGTTTTATATATATATATATATATATGATGCAGACTCCATTACTTTGGAGTGAGACACTGGACATTCTTAGAGGAATGAGAGGCAGACCTATATAATTACATTCATAGGGAATCTGGGCAAGTTAACAGTCAGTCAGGCATAAACGGCTCCAGTCAGTGAAAGCAGCACAAGGGCCCACACACCTGTGATGGTGTAACTTTGACGAGAGAAACTATGTGCTGAAGTCACTGTGCCAGCCTATTAACACCAGAGTCCGACTTCAAACATGCTCCTCACAAAACAGATGTGAACAGAGGTGTGTGTGACGATCTGACAGGTGCTAGTTTGTTGTTGTTTTCTATCATTTGCCAGGGGCGACCAAAGGATTTTGATGAGGTGCCATGAAATGTTGTTGCATAATGCTAACTATTTCACATAATATTTATTATTATTTTTTATTTTTTTAAATAGGCAATATGCTGTGTATACTTCATAGTATCCAGAGTGCACAGATTTCGCAAAGGGCTAAAGTTTGTCGTGTGAATTCACCAGGTTGACTAACAGAAAGCTGATTGGTTTAAAAGTACACTGTAAAAAAATGTCTGTAGTTTTTACAAAATAATTTTGGCAGCTGTGGTTACCAGAATAAAGTATAAAACTGTAATTTACAAACAAGAAAATTTGAATGTAAACCAGTAAATTCAACAATGCACACTGCTATTAAAATCTGTTTTGTACCTTTAACATACTGACAACCACCATAATAAAGCAGGTGGTAAAAGAGAAAGCCACATGAAGAATCAAAGCTCATCACAAGTAGCTTCGCCACAAGCAGAAGTATATACTAATATATAGAAGGTGCACAGAGTCATTCATGCAAACACAAAACACCATAATGGTAACACACATGATACATAAATAATGCATTCAACTTTCAATAAACAACAGAAGATGTAACATAAAGCCCAAATATACATAACTGATAACAAAAACTATTAAAAAAAACATGATTATTTAAACAAAATATTTTAAAATGTGGAGTGTCATGCAGGGAATTCTGGGAATATCGGTTTACAGTTTTGACTGGAAATTATACATTGATTTGTTATTTTTTACTTCTAAAAACTAACAGCAAAATTAACAGCATTTTACTGTAAAATTACATGAAATTTCTGGTTAGATATTTTACAGTTTTTCCCTGTATATAGTACGGGAACTTACTGTTAACCTATTAACTGTTTTTTTCCATAGTGTTTTTACAATTTTACAGTTAAAATTACACTTATTTTTTACAGTGTAACACATCTTTATTGTACACATATTTATAGTGGCCACAACTTAAGAATTTGTTTCCTCATTTTTGTACATTTTGGTCACAATTCACTAGTTGTTCCCTCATTGTAATTAAATCGTGGGCACAAATTAGAAATTTGTTCCCATGACTTATTAATTTGTTTCTCTCATTTTAGGAAATCGTGGACATATTGTACAAATTTGTTCCAAAATGAGGGAACAAATTAGTAAAACATGGCCACAATTTACTACAACAAGGGAACAAACTCTTAATTTGAGGACTTAACTAAAATGAGAAAATGAATTAATAAGTTGTGAGAATGAACAACATATTTTTTATATGTCATGTGCAAGGCTTCGTACTATAGACAGTAAACCTTTTTTTACCAGTGAAAATGTGCCCAAATTTTGCTAATTCGCAGAAATGTAAAAGAAATGTACAAAAATGTTCCATTATTATTTTTAAAAAGTTTTTTAGTGTATTGTTCAAGGTAAAACAATTATCTTGGTTTCAGTGTTGCCAGGTCTGCATAACAAAACCAGTCCAATTGCTAATCAAAACTAGCCCAATCACGGCAAAAACTAGCCCAATTGCATTCTGGCATGGGATGGGGATGACTAACAAAACCAACCCCCAGCAACAGTGTAAAAGCAGCCTAATGCCTGGATTATTAATTCTTAAATATCATTACATTTTTGGGAAGTCGCACCACATGACAATTTACACCCTGAACAAACCTTGACTTGTCATAAAATATCAAATTGTCTGATATTTTAAGAAACATACTGACCTTTGCATACAGTAAAATGGGGGACCCTCTTTATGACATTATTTCCTTTTTTCTGCATTTTGGTAGGTTCCACTTCCCTGATTGGTCAGTTGATCGTATTTGATTTGGCTGACGAAAATTGTAAATATTAAAATTAGGGCTGTCAATCGATTAAAATATTTAATCGTGATTAATCGCATGATTGTCAGACTTTGAGCATGCAAAATACGTTCAGCGGTGCTGCGAAAAGGGGCAGGAGCAGGATATGACATCACACGCCAAAATATCCTCACTAGTCATAATTATTTTCTATTTAAGTGATTACAATCAGTCACAAGCATAGTTAATCAAGTACACACACGAGAGTTCACTAAACTTGAACTTTGCTACGCAGGGAAATGAGAAATATCTTCGCACGGGCTTGCGTTTCCTGTCTGACACATTCGCATGCGTATGAATGGACGTCAATGGAATTAAAAGTCTAGTGTGTTAATTTTGACTACTAACTATTGTTACAAGGGTAAATTTGTGTAAGGGTGTACTCAAAGAGTTCACAAAAGGTTTAAACACACACACCTTGCACTCGAGCTCATAATAGTGATAACAGAGGCCGTTTTTACTGACACCAACAGCACCTCTCACCCTGTTCATTGCAAAGTCTTGAATTAAAATCTATTTCATCCACACTATTATTAAGCAGAATTTCAGCAAAGCATAACGACTGAACATCAACAGTCAGTCAAAACTATTCAATTACACAGTTATAATAAATCTCAATGCTTATTTACTACACCCAAGCTTATTCTATGAGCCCAGATTGAAAACCTCTAAACGGGCATTGCTAAAAACCTCTTTCCGTGTTGAACCGATCTAAAAAGTCTTGAAAATGATTCATGTGTCTCTAAGCCAAGAGCGAGCCTTTAAATCTTCTCTGATCAAGGATAATTACAAAATGGCCCTAGATGACCTGTTTCTGTTTTAAACAGGTTGACTCAGAGAGCTGTGTTTAACTTCACACATATAAAATATGTGGGATGTGAGGCCTGTAATGTTTCTCTGATTAAAAGCTAGGCGCTGTGGTGTGGGATATGACATAAACCCTGCTCCAAAGGCATGCTTGCTGAAAATTCTTCAGAGATTAGGTAATGATGAGAGAAAAGCTGTGCCACTGTATATATGCACGTGTAGGTTTAGTTGAGAGAAAAGGAGAGAGAAACAAAGGAAACTAAACTGACCTTTTACTAAACCCAACCTTAAAACCATAATCCTGACAATAAAAGACGTGTGATAGGTTTAATCACATAATATGAATCATCTGTGTTCAAAAACACATTGAAAATGCAATTCATACATACAATTGCTTGTGTATTTATATATTTTAACACGTTTTTAATTTCTTTAATGTTAATTAAATTTTTAATGTTAAAAAGTCAAAATTGTCAAATTGATGAAAAAAACAGTTTAAAGGGTAAGATAAGCAACATAAGATGCTGCTAAAAAGAACATTATTTTGTGTATTTGGTGTAATGAAATGTGTTTATGTGGTTTAAAGTAAAAAAAAAACATTATTTTCCACATACTGTACATTATTGTTTCTCCTCTATGCCCCGCCTTTCTGAAACGCGTCGATTTTTACAAAGCTCATAGGTCTGAAAAGCGAGGTGTGCTCTGATTGGCCAGCTATCCAGTGCGTTGTGATTGGCCGAATACCTCAAGCGTGAGACGGAAATATTACGCCCCTCACCATACTGATGGCGTGTCCCAGCCGGAGCGATGACACAAAAACATTAAAACCCATTATAAACGAGGCATTTGTTGCATCCAGTGGGGACATACTTATGGATTATAATGACTTATACTGTCTTTTTACGCGTTGCGTTGCATCATGCCGCGTAAACATAAAACCCGGTCTGCGTTTGTGATCGGAGAAATGACAAACAACAAGTGCTACTCCACACTGCCCAAAACTCGCGTTTGAATCATCAGTGGCAAATGATAAAAGAAAACGTACTTACGTGAGTCAGAACTGCCGGCATTTTAGTCTAACGTTACTCTCCCAGGATCAGTAAACAGTCCTCCATAAAATGTGTCGGCAATCCACAGCACTAAGTTGAAGTATTCTCTCAGCGACCAGCACGGATCAGCTCTAGGCATGACATCGTCCTCTTTTGGAAGACCAAACAAAGCGGCCTAGCGTGAGCTGAAGCCGGGCAAGAGTGAGCTGATGCGGCAGGGTCGAGAACGGCAATCCCGGCGAAGGAGCGGTGAAAACGGTGAAAGCCAGTCCGGCGATCTACAGCACTAAGTTGATGTATTTCCTCAGCGACCAGCACAGATCAGCTCTAGGCATGACGAAGCGATATCGTCCTCTTTTGGAAGACCAAACAAAGTAGTTTCGCTTTCACAACGAAGCACACAGCACCTTCACGACATGGCGGCAGCGGCAACAATACTACAGTGAGAATAAAAGTTAGGCCTTCTTTCTTTGCGTGAACATTTGGGCGGCATTATGCAAATCTTCCCACATCGTGACATAGACATGTGGGGGCGTGTTAGAACGAGGCGTTTTAGGTAGGTGTGGCTGACTCTGAACTTTTATAAAGAATATCTCTTTGGATTTGAGACTTTAGTCGTTGCAAATTTACAGATCTTCTTTATGCACCAAGAGCTTGTAACACTCCAAAGAGAAAGCAAAAAATGAAATCGCATCATATGACCCCTTTAATACTTTAACAGAAAACCCTTTAATGAAGAAAACAGTTCTTGAAAATAAACCTTTAGTAGTTTGGGACAACACTTAATAATTTTTTTCTAAAAATAATAATAATAAAGCAGTGAAATATATTAGTATTTGAAAAACTTTTGTCTGCCAAACAATGTCAAGTGGTGTGACCAACATGCAGAAACATGCAAGAAAACAATTCAAAACTAAAAAACAGAAATTGTATAATGAAGAGAGCTAATTAATTAATGTCAAGATTGATAAGTCTCTTAAAATATCAGATAATTAACATTTTTATGACAAGCAAAGGTTAGTTAAGATTGTAAAATGTCATGTGGTGTAACTCCCAAAAAATTTTACTTTACATTTTTTATATTTATTAATTTAATTTAATTTCCATGTTTTTCTCATTTGTAAGTTGCTTTGGAAGCGTCTGCTAAATGACTAAATGTAAATGTACTTGTCTTAAGAATGAAACCAACATGAATACAAAGAGTACATTTCGCAGAACTTGGCACGTGTATTTTAAACCAGATTTTTTCTTTATTTTATCATGGACACTCTTATATATTCGAAGTGGACAGACTTTGGCCAGAAAAAGCGACAATGAGAACCAGACATGTTGTAAGTCTGTATTTCCCTATTTCACATGGAAATCAGCCAGGCAACAAAACAAGCCTAACAAAAACCAGGTGAAGTGCAAAGAATAGAATGGCGTTCACACTTACAGGCCGGTTTCAGGTGGGTTCACACTGTCCTGAGGGGTATCATGGACACTCTTATATATTCGAAGTGGACAGACTTTGGCCAGAAAAAGCGACAATGAGAACCAGACATGTTGTAAGTCTGTATTTCCCTATTTCACATGGAAATCAGCCAGGCAACAAAACAAGCCTAACAAAAAAACCAGGTGAAGTGCAAAGAATAGAATGGCGTTCACACTTACAGGCCGGTTTCAGGTGGGTTCACACTGTCCTGAGGGAAACCGGCAGATCCAGACAGGCTTTGTTTATTGCGGAAGGCCTCCCGGGCCCGAAGTCGCCTTTCTCTCTCGATCTCCTCAGCATCTTCGATACTTCGCTGAGCCGTCACTCTGCAGGAAGAGAAACGAAAACGAGCCCCTTGTTACGCCAGAAGACAATCGTTTTTCTTTCTTGACCCATGTGAGAGCCGTGGTCGAATGATGAATGACCCCGAGCCCAGAAGAGTGCTGTTGTCTATGATACATGGACCTCTTCAAGAAACCTTTTGTTTAGTCCCTTGCTTGAGATTCAGAGCCAGTGGAACATCTGCTCTGGCATTCGACACCACCAATGCTTGAGTGACCCTGCAAACTCACACTCAAGATACTAAAGCATCTCTGTGTTTATCTAGCTTGAAAACACACAGATATGCTCTTCATATCTTCTATGCTGAAAAAAGTTGGCCAAACTACTAATTTAAGTTGCTACTTGAAGCTATATTTACTAATGCAAGGTCTTGCTAAATGTTTATGGTAGCAAGCATTAACTTTGGTGTATGTTCGACCAAAAATCATTTATTCACATTCCAAAATTGTATGACTTTCTTTCTTCTGTGGGCCTCAAAAGAAGATATTTTGAAAACACTCCGTGGTTTTGTTTTGTCCATACAGTGGAAGTCAATGGGCTCCAATGTTATTTGGACCCAAAGATTTTCCAAGATATTTTGTGCTCTGTAGAAGCAAGACCTTCACACAGGTTTGGAAGGACAGGAGGTTGAGTACTGATTTTTAGGACTTTAGGGACTCAGTCTGGATTCTGGGTCAGTTAAAGGTGAACACAGGTCACCAATGACCCTCAGAAGAATTTCAGGCCAGGTTACAGGTTGCTACGATGACTTTACAGCTAGCCATAAAAGCATTTTGACAGATCAATAGTCATTCATCAACATTAAAAAAAAGTTCCAGTTAGAAACAATAAGGCTTTTCAGACTGATGCCATAGGTAAAACTTTTTAGGTTCCACAACTCAACTGAGTTCTTTATTAATGATAGTGGTGAAACCAACATGAAGAACCTATAATGTAACACCAAGAACGTATTTTAAATTGCTAAAGGAGCAGATAGCAACTGAAGAACCTAAAACCCCCACAAAACTCCGTCAATGAACTTCTTGGGCAAAGAACCGTTTTAAATGTGATTTTTGATTAAAGATGAATGTGAGATTGTTTCTTCATCAGAAAAGATTAGAAGAAATTTAGCAGATTTTGCTTTCAATTAAAATATGAGTCCACTATTCATAATATTGCTTTCTCCAGTAAAAAAAAAAAGTAGTCTTGTCTGAATCAGGAGAGAAATATGCACATATCTACCACTGTTTACAAGCAAAAACAGTTCTAAACAAATGTGTTGGGGTGTTTTGATGTGAGAGGACAACAGGGGAAAGACTTTGTCACTGAAGGAAGAGTTATTCTGAGTTAAAATGCCTTAATGATGAATTTGTTTCTTGCAGATGTTTCTTATGTTAATTGATGGACTGGAGTCATGTGGGTTACTTGTGGATTATTGTGATGTTTTTATCAGCTGTTTGGACTCTCATTCTGATGGCACCCATTCACTGCAAAGGATCCAGTGGTGAACAAGTGATGCAATGCTACATTTCTTCAAATCTGTTCCAGAGAAATAAACACATCTACATCTTGGATGTAAACAAAATGTTGAATAAGTTATGTTATTATTGTTTTCTTTGAGCACAAAAAGTATTCTTGTAGCTTCGCAAAATTATGGTTGTACCCCTGATGTCACATGGACTGTTTTACCGATGTCCTTGCTACGTTTCTGTGTGTTGATTGTGGTAATATCCTTGCTGTCTATGGAGGGTCAGAGAGCTCTCAGATTCCATAAAAAATATCCTAATTTGTGTTCCGAAGATGAACGAAGGTCTTACGGGGTTTGGAACGACATGAGGGTGAGTAATTAATGACAGAATTTTCATTTTTGGGTGAACTAAACCTTTAACTTGGGTATCTTGGGATTATTTTCACTAGCAAAGAAAAATATGCAATCTAACTGGCTAAATTTGTTCTGAAACAAGTTATTTTATAGTGTATTGAACCACTGTAGAAAAGTGCTATCATCATTGTAATCTAGATGTTCTGAATATCAGCACAGCTGCAGTTACCTGTAGTGCTCGGCCTGCAGCAATAGTGGGTTTTTTTAGGAAAAAGCAGTTTCTACTCATAACCAAACTACAATAAACACACACACACACATCTGAAACCAACCATACAGTTTCACAAAGGGCTTATGGCAAGATCTAATGTGTCACACACAGTTCATGTGCCTCTGATTATTATAGGCTGTTAATCACCCAGACAGGATTACTTCATTTTTTTGGCAGAAGCCACGTAAATGATGTCAATCCTGCCAGTGATGTCATTCAATATCTGATTAATTTACCACTATCAGTCCGATTATGTAGCCTGGTTTTCTTTTTTCTTCATGTCTGGAAATACCGTTTTCCAAGAGTTATGGAAGTGAAAACACATTTTCAGTCATGGTGAGCATATTATCAAACGCAGACTGTTTCTCAGACCCATTTCTGAATTAAATGGAAACAATAAAGTGAGAGTGAGGGAACGGGAAAAGAAAACAAGAGCCTGGCTTATATTCAGCATGTATCACCTCCCCTGACAATGTGTTGACTAAACTTCCACAGCCTGGTGCCCTGAGGCTGAAAGGATTTGGAGGGCTTGACGGATTCGGAAATGTTTTTCGCCATTGTTGCCTGCCCTAATTTGCCACAGCCATGTCTGGTCTTGCAGAGCACCGGCTGAGCTAGATTGGTCAGTCTCAAATGGGTCACATAGAAGTTGACCTCCGACCTGAGTTTCCCTTTCCAGCTCTTATCCTTAATTATTAAAGTGAAACTGCTCAGTAAATGTCAATTGTCTGATATATGATCTCCAGACAGGGTGTTGTTATTGCTGGTGGATGGCTAAAAGTGATGGCTCACCCAAAAGTGAAAATTCTTTCATTATTTACTGTCATTATTTACCCTTGTTCCAAACCAATGACTTTAATTCTGTTGCAGAACACCATATTTTGAATAAACATTTGTCATATATGTAGATATTTTTATGTTCCACAGAAGAAAGAAATGCATACAAGTTTGAAACAACATGAAGTGATTGTCTGCCAGTGATGTCATTCAATATCTGATTAATTTACCACTATCAGTCCGATTATGTAGCCTGGTTTTCTTTTTTCTTCATGTCTGGAAATACCGTTTTCCAAGAGTTATGGAAGTGAAAACACATTTTCAGTCATGGTGAGCATATTATCAAACGCAGACTGTTTCTCAGACCCATTTCTGAATTAAATGGAAACAATAAAGTGTGTGTGAGAGAGAAAGGGAAAAGAAAACAAGAGCCTGGCTTATATTCAGCATGTATCACCTCCCCTGACAATGTGTTGACTAAACTTCCACAGCCTGGTGCCCTGAGGCTGAAAGGATTTGGAGGGCTTGACGGATTCGGAAATGTTTTTCGCCATTGTTGCCTGCCCTAATTTGCCACAGCCATGTCTGGTCTTGCAGAGCACCGGCTGAGCTAGATTGGTCAGTCTCAAATGGGTCACATAGAAGTTGACCTCCGACCTGAGTTTCCCTTTCCAGCTCTTATCCTTAATTATTAAAGTGAAACTGCTCAGTAAATGTCAATTGTCTGATATATGATCTCCAGACAGGGTGTTGTTATTGCTGGTGGATGGCTAAAAGTGATGGCTCACCCAAAAGTGAAAATTCTTTCATTATTTACTGTCATTAGTTACCCTTGTTCCAAACCAATGACTTTAATTCTGTTGCAGAACACCATATTTTGAATAAACATTTGTCATATATGTAGATATTTTTATGTTCCACAGAAGAAAGAAATGCATACAAGTTTGAAACAACATGAAGTGATCACATTTTTTTTTTCTATTGAACTACTTTTAAGCCCTGTTTACACCAGCAACATTCATCAAGTTGTCATTGTAATGTGACCTACCAACTTCAGCAGGGGCGTAAATTTTGTCTAATGGTAGAGGAGGACACTAAACATAACATTTATAAGAGCAATTTTTGAAGGGGACTAAAATTGTACTTGTAAGGAAAAGTTTACACAGAAGAAAGCCTTTTACCGATCTCCTTGCTACGTTTCTGGACGTTGATCGTGTTATTACATTGCTGTCTATGGAGGGTCAGAGCGCTCTCGGAATTCATCAAAAATATCTTAATTTGTGTTCCGAAGATGAACGGTCTTACGGGATGAACGACATGAGGGTGAGAATTAATGACAACATTTTCATTTTGGGGAGTAACCCTTTAAGGATTCATCTGTATTTAATTGAGAATTTAGTATTTGATCAATTTATTCAATTTCTGTATGTTTCCTACTTGCAGAAGGGCACAGGTAAATATGACATTTATTATAATGGGTTTATGTGAAGATTCAATTCAATTCAAGTTCATTTGTATAGCGCTTTTCACAATACAAATCGTTGCAAAGCATCTTTACAGAAAATTATGTTTCTACAATATATTTAGTAGTAGCTTATCAGTGGTGACTGTCAGTTAATGTACATATGGCAGAAATGTATGGATAAATCAATTAAAGACGTAATCAAACAGACGATTGACAGCAATTATTAGCAAAATGTAGCAAAATGTGATAGTTCTGTATGTTGTTTCAGGGTTGGCATCATCTGAGGTCCTCTGAGGGGTTGCATCATCTCTTCTCAGGTGTTCTGGATAGATTGTAAAAAGATTGTTTAAAGTTCACTTAAATTAGAAGTTATTATAAGTAGTTTAATAAATGTTAAAATGTATAGCTTTGTAATGTTGAATGCTAATCAATGGTTAAATATTAGGGGGAAAAACTATTTCATAGAGACATCAGAGTGATACTGGCCTTCAGTCATATAAAAATAGGCCATTATATAAATATTAAAGATATACTGTCTTTATGTTGTTTATACATTCATTTGAAGATTGAATGTGAAATTATTGCAATGTAAAAGTATTTTAAAACTTTAATGTTAGGTGGGATTAATCGCGATTCATTTCAGAATTTTTTTTTTTCCGATTGACATCACTAATTTCTACATAAAAAACAAAGCGTGGAAATCATTTATTACCGAATTCAAACAATAAATGACGTTTTGGCTCTCTTTTATTTGGCGCTCTTTAACTCGCGCCTCGAGTTTAAACGGCAGCGTGAAGCACACGTGAACGACCATCTCTTCCATTTTACTTCTGGTTATTGTGCGAATGAAACTTTGAATGAAAAGAAAGGTATGTTAAAAGAGTATGTTACAGCTTACTGAAATGCATGAGCTCTCACATAATCGCCTAAATGGTGTTTTAACCGCGAAAAGACATAATGTGTAGGCTACACGTGTTACTTCAGCAAAGTCATTCAATCCTATTAAAAGAAAACAGAATGTTACAGTAAATCATATCCCTAAATTCATTATTAAATAGTTATGCACAAAATAAGATTTAGGTATTGTAGAGGAAATTTCTACCACAGCATCCAGAGGTTGAAAAAACACCTACAATTTATGCAGTTGGTGCCAGCTGCAATTGCAAAAACACTCACATCCATTTTAATGTGTTCAGTTTTTTCATCTCGGACTAAAATGTGAAGCGTAAAAAAGTTCCTGCTGTACCACCTTTTTCTTAACTTTACTCTTTTCTGATCTTCTTTGCATGAAAGAACAAATCATTGTTCTTAACTGAAAGCATTTAAATGTTCCCTTTTGTTCTCGTTTACAGGGAAGCAAGTCCTTGTTTTGTGTTTGTTTACAGGGAAGCATATCCTGCTCTTTGAGATCTAACTGATGGATGCTGTTATTTGCTCCTCTCTCATTTTGTATCTGCATTGAAGGCAGCTGTGAGGTTTATTGACTCTGCCAGTCAAATTATGTCATCTTAATGACAGATTTAAAGAGCAAAGGAGAGTTATTTTCCCAGGCATGTTAGTGTCTTCCTGCTGTCAGTGTGTGGTCGCATCACTGCAAACCTCACATACGTTTCCCAGTGTTCCCTGAAAGGCTGACGACATTTCAAAGCACTGATCTAAGCTGTGCATTATGAATCATGAGAACTGAAATATCTATAATTATGTCATTTAATGGGAGAGCTCTAAAAATTTTTTATTTCCAAGCACACTTCAAAGAGAGAGGATGGCCGTGCATAACATTCAAATAAACTATCACTTCATCAAAAAAAATAATAATGTGAAATATGAATTTTGAATATGAAATGATTGATTCTCTGTATTTGTATGGCCCAGGAATAGACACTTGTTCTCATTTCAGTTAATTGATTGATATATATGTGTACAAACCACGTGTTTCGCATTGCCTACAGAGAATATCCTCAGTGGCACATCTTACCCCCACCCCCCATATACTTCTCTAAATACTCTTGTAATGCTTGACTAAACATAACACAGTTCCCTCAGTGTTTATTCTACTCTGCTGCCTAAAACCTTCGGAAAAGCGCACTGCCACAGGGATGGTAAAGACCCTTTCGGTCAAACGGCTAAACCCCCTGCATTCCAGCAGCTCTTATCAGAGTATTGTAAATAGAAGAGCGGCTCACGTAAAGTCCATGGATCAGGGGGTCATGGCTTAGTCCACAATGAGAGAGAGACTTTTCGAGCAAGTTAAAAACAATGGTGTGAAATTTTTTACTTTACAGAATCAATACCACAAAGCTAAAAACTGACAGCCTGCCAAATCTACAGTGGGAGAAAAATGCCATAGAAACAGTTTACATCCAGAAATGGCTAGTATGGAAGGATAAAAACGTTTTTTTTTTCTTTTTCACAATTGCAAGTTTATATCTTACAATTTTTACTTTTTTCTCAAAATTGTGTATATTCTTTTTTTTCTCAGAATTCCAAGTTTACATCTCACAATTCACAATTTTCCTTTTATTTATTTTTTGGCTTCAGAATAAATAGTGAATTTCTATCTCACAATTCTGACTTTTTTCTCGAAATTGCAAGTTTATATCTCACAATTCAGACTTTTCTTCTCAGAACTGCAGTTTATATTTGCAGTTGTGAGATATAAGCTCGCATTAAAATTGTATAGTTATTATTCATATGTTTCCAGATTTTTCTAGTTGGTATCTTTAGTTAACAGCTCACAATTTTGAATGTTTTTTTTTTCTCAGAATTTTGACTTTTTCTCAGAATTGTGAGTTTACATAACAGTGAATTTTTACTATCTTTGTTTATTTACAACTTTGATTTTATAATTTTTTTTTTCTTTTGGAAAGGTTTTTATCAGCTGGCTTTTGTGTCAGTTTGACATATTGTGTGTATACTGTACAATCTGCAGGCATTGTAATGGTTTTCAAAATACTGTGACAAGCGTATACAAAATATTGTAGTCGTAATTGATGTATCCGGTATGTGTCTAAGCAAACCACACAATGGTTCTGATGAATGTAGGCCGTTAATAGAGAAAGCAGCTTGCTGAGTGTGAGAAAAGGCTGTTTTTGGCAGCTCTGAAAAACCTTGGGGAAATAAATCCTGTCTGCCATTAATGCAAACTGTTTGTGTTTGACAAAGCACACCTGATCCATCTCAAATCCTCTCTGTACAGAAATGAACACAGCATCCACAGAGGTTATGCTATTTGTTTAGTCTTATATATATGTGAGTATGCTATTAAAAACGAAATCTCTGTCATCATTTACTCATTAAACCACTCCTTTTGTGTTCCACGGGAGAAAGACAGTTATAGGGGTTTGACATGATGGGCAAACAATGACTGGAATTAAATTTTTTGTCGAACTAAGCTGTTTCTGGATCATTTTAGTCAAATTCTGAACAGACACGTTTGTGTTTGTGGAAAAACACAGTCGGCTAGATATAGTATTTGAATTGGTATATTGCTTCATTGTTTACAGGAAACAAACTACAGTTTTCCACCTAAATTATAGTTGGTTTGCAGCACCTTCACAGATAACCCACAATGAATGTCAACAGGTCACAAGTTTAATTAGGGGGTGTGGGTGCCCTCAACCCTCCCTTCCTCCCTTGTCCTGTCCCATCATCCATCCACAATCCCGCAGCACCTCTGGAAGAAACAATAAACTCTTATCTGGAACCCTGACAACTTTCCAGCTTATAAAAGTCACAGTAAACAATTTCTCTATAAAGACAACAGCGCATGAAGGTGCAACAAATTGCTAAGATGTAGTAAAATGTGCTATGAGTTAATTATTGTATTTTTTCAAATATATGTAAATTGATCTTAGTACTTTTTTCAGGTTTTGTTTCAGTCTTCTTTTTAGATTTGTTAGGCAATTAAAACAAACACGATGCTGACAATTTCAAGTTTTCTTGTTAAAAATTGTCTATGAAGAACGTAAACATGAACATGCGTGTAAACAGGCACACTGCAAAAATAAAAAAATACAGAAATACAAGAAAATACTATTTTTGCTTTTTGCTGATCCTACAACCACCCCCACCCACCCCACAGATTTTTCTAGTTTATATCTTCAGTTCACATTTTTTCCTCAGAATTTTGACTTTTTTCTCAGAAATGTGAGATTATATCGCAATTACTTTTTGTATTTTTTATCCTGTTGCAGAAATAAGCTTCCATATTCACAAATCACAATGTATTACTTGCCATTTCTTTTTTGTTCATTTATTGTAAAGTTTATTAGTTTACTAGTGAATTTATGATTAAAAATGACTCAATAATATAAAATAATTATAATAAATGTTCAGAAAAAATATCATTTACAAAATAAATGATTACTAGTTTCCTTCATGTATTTGCAAAGTTTAAACTACAATCTTAATGTTTAATGTCAACTGCCCCAAAACAGACACCTTCATTACTCAAATGCAAAAAGTTCTGGTCTTCCCATAACAAAGGATGACAGGTTCTTAAAGAGCACAACATGGCATTGAAATATAGGCTGTTGTGTCATATAGTGCATTAAATATTAACATGAATCCCTTTAATTTCGAACAAGAATAACCAATGTTGTATTATTACCCATAAAACTGACATTAGCAATTGCAAAAGAACAAAGAAAACAAAACATACGCCCATCATCACACCTGAGAGCCCATCTGCAAGCCTTAAATGATTTGATGCGAAAGTCTGGCACACAAAGTCCTCACCTCAGGAGGTTCTGCAAGCCTTGCTTGCTGGAGCTTCGTCTCATGATTGCACTTGATATTGTTCTTTCTTCTCCGAGCTTGGAATTCTTGGACGTTTTGTATTCCGTGGAATCTGATTCACAAATGCTGACGTTCTCTTTCCTCGGACACTCAAGCTTTTGAGGAGAGATCCACGCGGCACTCGGTCTGGTTTCAGAGACTGGCTTTAGTCACACTCTGTCCCCTCCTCCTCTCCTCCCTCTGTTTTTTTCTCTTTCCTGCATGTGGTTCTCATTGAGAGAGCTCAGACCATAACCTAACATATTTTCCCCCTCCTTTTCCCTCTTTTCCAGTGTCATGTGGCCGTCCCAGGGGAAAATGTAAGTTGATACCCCCCACCCCATGCTATGAATCCAGCCCCCCACAAGACCCCCGTCCCAAACCCAGAACTCAGCCTTTCTTTGACTGTGTTTATATTGGTAACAAAGCTCTCAGACATGCTTACAAATAAACTTCAGCAAGCATTTTGATACGTCCCGTTGTTTGTCTCCTATACCGGCAGTATTAATCATACTAAATGACAATTACTCTACCGTTCAACAGTTTGAGGTCAGTGAGATTTGTTTTTTTTTAAGAAAGATTTGAATATGTTTATTCATCAAGGATGCATTTAATATATCAAAAGTGACAGAAAAGATGTTTATAATGTTACAAGAAAATTATATTTCAAATAAATGCTGTTCTTTTGAACTTTGTTTACGACAAACCTGAGGAAAACATTTTTATGGTTTCCAGAAAAATATTACGCGGTTTGTTTTTAGCATTAATAATAATCAGAAATGTTTCTTGAGCAGCAAATCAACATATTAGAATGATTTCTGAAGGCTCATGTGACACTGAAGACTGGAGTAATGATGCTGAAAATTCAGCTTTGTGTCACAGGAATAAATTATATTTTACAATATATTGACATAGAAAACAGTTATTTTATATAGTAATAATATTTCACAATATTTATGTTTGATGAAATAATACAGCCTTGGTGAACAGAAGAGACTTCTTTCAAAAATATTACAAAATCCCATTAAAACCCAACCCCAAACTTTTGAATGGTAGTTTTATGTATTTCTTCAAATTTGGCCACTTCATGCATTTACATTGCATTTACATTTATGATTTATGTTTTTCTATCCAAAGCGACTTACAGTAGACGAACAAAAGAAATTTGTCAAGGAGTCGCATCATGCCTTTAATGACTCTGACATTCATTTATATATTTAATTGTTTTTCTCTTGTTCCAAACCCAGGCTTTCAAATGAAGATAAATACACAAAACCATAGCATAGCAGGGGTATATTTGTAGCAATAGCCAAACATTTTTATTGGGCCAAAATTATCGATTTTTCTTTTGTGTCAAAAATCATTAGGATATTAAGTATAGATCATGTTCCATGAAGATATTTTGTAAATGTCCTACCATAAATATATATCAACTTAATTTTTGATTAGTAACATGCATTGCTAAGAACTTCATTTGGACAACTTTAAAGGTGATTTTCTCAATATTTAGATTTTTGTTCCTACCCTCAGATTCCAGATTTCCAAATATTGTCCTATCCTATGATAGATGATGTACTTTTGACCCTTATGACTGGTTTTGTGGTCCAGGGTCACATATAAAATGTGAGATGCAATAATACCCTTTAGCAAGACAATGCATGAGAAGTTTTCCATCTTTTTATAAGCGACCTAATGGAATATTTGTTTTATTTGTTAATTATCTAAAAATAGTGAAAACACAATCAATTATGACCAATCACAGAACATAAATGTTAGATTTCCCTAATTCATTCACCTTATTAAACTCTATACTCCTGAAACAAAATATTTCTTGATACTTAAATATAGTTAAAGGTGAAGTGTGTCATTTTTACATTGATTTGTCAAGCAGACTGTCTTCATCCAGTGTTATGTTGGGTCTCTCAAACAAACAGAGCAATGATTTGTAACCACCAGAGACGCAGTGTTTACACTTTTCAGGAAATCAACCTACAAATTGCTTATTTATTGTTTAAACTGTAAACTATATGTTTACATATTAAACTGACATTTTAACCAGGAAAAGCATTACACAATTTGTCTTTAATTCTCAACCTCAGCAACTGAAGCTGATCTGCTTGTTTCTCATTTGCTCAAAGCAGATTTCCGTATCGACATGTTTACAACGTCTCTCATTGCTCTCATTTTTCACCACACACAGGCACATTCACACTCATGAACACACGGCTGCCTCAGTCCACTAAACCACCGCCTTGTTAACCCGGTTACTATGGCAAACTACACAGCATTCAGGCCTGTAGACTGTTTGGGTCTCTCTCCAGACAATACCAGCACTCAGCACTCAGCACTGCAGTCCTCAGCTCTTTACTGAGCCTTGTTTAACAAGTCCAGCCCTCGCTTGAACACTGGCCCACCGGCCCACACAGAGAAAGACATCAGCAAGAACTCAAGTCCTTCAGCTGAGTTACAGCTGAGCTTTCTGTTTGAGTTTATAATATTTTATAATTTGTAAGTTTAATATTTATAATTAGTTATTTCAGCTTTTGTTCAGTTAACAAAAATAATTTTTAATAGTTTGCTTTTTATTTTTATTATTTTAATATTTCTATTTATCTTTCATTTATTTTTAAGTAATTTTAATATTTCAACTTTTTAACAAGTATTTTAAGCTTAGGTATTTTTATTTTATTGTTTACATTATTTCAGTATATATATATATATATACACTGAACAAAATTATAAATGCAACACTTTTGTTTTTGCCCCTATTTTTCATGAGCTGAGCTCAAAGATCTAAGACTTTTTCTATGTACACAAAAGGCCTATTTCTCTCAAATATTGTTCACAAATCTGTCTAAATCTGTGTTAGTGAGCACTTCTCCTTTGCCGAGATAATCCATCCACCTCACAGGTGTGGCATATCAAGATGCTGATTAGACAGCATGATTATTGCACAGGTTTGCCTTAGGCTGGCCACAATAAAAGGCCACTCTAAAATGTGCAGTTTTATCACACAGCACAATGCCACAGATGTCGCAAGTTTTGAGGGAGCGTGCAATTGGCATGCTGACTGCAGGAATGTCCACCAGAGCTGTTACCCGTGAATAGAATGTTCATTTCGCTACCATAAGCCGTCTCCAAAGGCGTTTCAGAGAATTTGGCAGTACATCCAACCGGCCTCACAACCGCAGACCACGTGTAACCACACCAGCCCAGGACCTCCACATCCAGCATCTTCACCTCCAAGATCGTCTGAGACCAGCCACCCGGACAGCTGCTGCAACAATCGATTTGCATAACCAAAGAATTTCTGCACAAACTGTCAGAAACCGTCTCAGGGAAGCTCATCTGCATGCTCGTCGTCCTCATCGGGGTCTCGACCTGATGACCGGTTTACTGATGTTAACGTTGTGGATCGAGTGGCCCATGGTGGCGGTGGGGTTATGGTATGGGCAGGCGTATGTTATGGACAATGAACACAGGTGCATTTTATTGATGGCATTTTGAATGCACAGAGATACCGTGACGAGATCCTGAGGCCCATTGTTGTGCCATTCATCCACGACCATCACCTCATGTTGCAGCATGATAACGCATGGCCCCATGTTGCAAGGATTTGTACACAATTCCTGGAAGCTGAAACATCCCAAATGAGACCCCCTCCAACTTGGAAGCCCAGGTACTTTGCCTCGGAGAGTGTAAGGTGGCATTTGCGAGGGTTGGCGGTGAGTCCAGCCCTCCGGAACTCCGAGAGCACCCTCCGTAACTGGTCCAGGTGGTCTTCCCATGCCTCGGAGGGGATCACGATGTCGTCCAGATAGGCTGCGGCGTAGGACTGATGGGGCCGCAACAGGATGTCCATCATCCGCTGGAACGTGGCGGGTGCCCCGTGGAGGCCAAAGGGAAGGGTCCGGTACTGCCAGTGGCCACTAGGGGTAGAAAAAGGTTTAGGTCTTAGGTTTAGCATTCTCAGAGAGGAGTACCTGCCAGTAGCCTTTGGTGAGGTCCAACTTCCCAGCCGGTCCAACAGCTCATCCACCCGAGGCATGGGGAATCCGTCGTACTCGGAGACCTCGTTGAGGCGGCGGAAGTCATTGCAGAAATGGAGGGTGCCGTCCAGTTTTGGGACCATCACGATTGGGCTGGACCATGGGCTGCGTGATGGTTCTATCACCCCCAACTTCAACATTTGTTGTATAGCACGCCAATGAGCCTCATTGACGCGGTAGGGCCGTTGCCTGATGACGACCCCTGGCGGCGTCCAGATGTCGTGCTGCAGGACGCTGGTCTGCCCGGGAAGAGAGGAGAACACATCCGAGAACTGACCGACCAGGTGCTGCAGCTCCCTCTTCTGGGCTGCCGAGAGGTGGGGGTTGACGTCAACAACCACGGGATCAGAGATGGCGAGAGCTGCAAGCTGGTCTCTAGTCCCAACCCACTTCTTCAGAAGGTTGATGTGGTAGAGCTGCTCGGCTCTCCTCCTTCCTGGCTGACGCACACGGTAAGTCACCGGCCCAATCTTTTCCAGCACCGTATAGGGACCCTGCCAGGTGGCCAGGAACTTGCACGCAGCGTTGGGGACTAGGACCATGACTCGGTCTCCGGGCTGGAACTCCCGTGGTTGGGCTGCCTGGTTGTAGTGGCGCTGTTGAGCCTGCTGCGCTTTACTTAAGTGTTCCCGGACTAATGGCATTACCCGGTCGATCGTTTCCCTCATCTGCTTCACGTGCTTGATCAACGAGCGATGGGCTGCCGGCTGTTGTTCCCAGGCCTCCTTCGCCACATCCAGGAGGCCGCGGGGTTGCCGGCCAAAGAGGAGCTTGAAGGGCGTGAAGCCAGTTGAGGCCTGAGGAACTTCACGGATCCCAAAGAGGACGTAGGGTATCATAAGGTCCCAGTCGCGTTTGTCCTCCACGACCACTCGTCTCAACATCTGCTTCAGAGTCTGATTAAAGCGTTCAACCAGTCCGTCAGTCTGGGTATGGTAGACTGTGGTCCTCAACTGCTTCACCCGCAACAGCCTGCAGAAGTCAGCCATTAGCCGGGACATAAAGGCTGGAGAGCAGGAAGAGTTCCTGGGCGATGGCTTTGGCGGTGGCTTTTCGGAGGGGAACTGCCTCTGGGTACCGGGTGGCATAGTCGACGATCACCAGGATGTGTTCATGTCCCCGGGCAGACTTAGGCAACGGCCCCACAAGGTCCATCCCGATGCACTCGAAGGGCACCTTGATGATGGGCAGCGGTATCAGCGAACTGGGGGGAGGCGTCCTGGGGGACGTCACTTGGCAGGTCGGGCAGGCTTGGCAGAACTGCTTTACTTCGGCCTCCAAGCCCGGCCATCGGAAACGGTCGCGAATCCGCTGGATGGTGTTCGCGGCCCCCGAGATGCCCTGCCAAGGGATGTGAGTGGGCCAGCTCTAATACGGTCTCCGTCTTCATGTGTGGCACCACCAACAATAATTTTACATTTTCTTTATTTTACAAAAGCACAATGTTTCACTGTCATTTTGTTACAAGTTACACAAATAAAAATAGACCGTTTTGAATGATGTCGTGCTCTTATCTGACGGATATCACATTTTTCCACTGATATCCAAAGTGTTCGCTCTGGCGCCTCCAGCGCGCACACAATATATCAGTTGTCAAGTGGATGCAAAAGACAATAATTTTTATTTTATTTTTATAAAACACATTTTCACCGCTGTTTACAAATGATAACCAGGCTAAGTTATCATACACATATGCAACAAATGCTTAACATATTTAAACATTCTCATTACTCAGTAATTCATTATACTGGCTGTTAGTTTTTTCTAGAGTAGGCTATACTCTGTTAGATGGTGCGTTTGATGAATTCACTACACAAAATGTATCTTGCGAAGTGAAATGCATGCAGTTACCAACCAAATAATACACACATTGTTTCTATGAGGGTTGCGCTTCACTAAATAAAATTATTTAACAAACACCTGTTTACAAAAAGCACTTATTCGCGCGTACACAGGACAAAGTTTGAGTTACACGTAATATCAGAGGGAGCACAGAGCCATGATCAGGTAAGCCAAGAGATTCGTGCTGGCGCCCTCTTGTATTACAATAATGCATTTTCGACTTAATGCATTAAAATAATGCCAGAAACTGCCTCAGTTGTAAAAGCTGCAATCGATTTCTTATTGGTTAAAATGAATGAAGACTATCTTGTGTTTTTCCACGAGCACCCACGGGATCACTTAAAATCTGGATTGTTTGATTGATGCGATTAAATGGAGAACAAATTGAAACTTTTGCTGAGAAATATCTGAGACAAAATTGGAACTTACCGTAACTAAAAACTTTTTCTGTTGTTATTGGTTTTTATGTCAGTATTAAATACTGTATTTGCCTATGTCCTGTATGTAGTGACATCAACAGAAATCAACACACATAATGACACAACATTTAGGATGGGTTCCAGGATGCTGGCCAAGATCTTGTCAAACATGTCAAAACTGTCTCACTGCAGCACAGCTGTGCTAATGACAGTTCGACTCACAGACTCATAAATATGAGTCATGTTATGTGAAACATGAAATCACTCTTTGACAAAAGCTCAGAGTCAAAGATTTAGAATTTGTGGATACATGGATATCTCGAAAGTATAGAATATTAAAGGAATGTACTATTTAGCTCTGTTTTGAACTGTTATCACTTATAAATGGTGCTGGATCTTTGCAAATTTCTTTCTAATTCAGACTTTTTTCTTGAGAGAAAGCACTATTATGATAGAGGACATTCTTTAGCTGAAAGCAATGGTTTGAATGGTTTGAATTGGATTACTTGTGGATTATTGTGATGTTTTTTATCAGCAGTTTGGACTCTCATTCTGACAACACCCATTCACTGCAGAGAATACATTGGTGAGCAAGTGATGTAATGTTAAATTTCTCCAAATCCATTCTGTAACTCATTTACGTCCTGAAAAAAAATTAAGGGTGAGTACATTTTCAGCAAATTTTCATTTTTGGGGTGAACTATTCCTTTAATTCCATGAAGGCAAGAACTTATACATGTTTTCTTACCACCCCATGCTCAGCATGATGTCTGGTTTTTGTGAAGTTGAAGCACATCAACAGCAGTCTGACATTAATAAACTGCTAAACTGAAACCTTTGCGTCTCATAATCCTCACAGGGTATGTTAGAGACTTCAGCACCTGCAGCCATCTGCCTCCCTCTCCAAGATACATCTCCACAGAGAGAAATATTCAGAGAACTTAGTCTAGATTCTAGACCGCAAACCATCCCTGGGAGAGCATGCACTGTAGTGCACTAAAATTTCTCAGGACACCTATTTCAGTAATGTCTGCTGCCTGGTCATGAGAACACTATATATGTGGTATTTAAAAAAATCTCTCTCTCTCATACATATGTTATACCACCTTTGAAGAATTGTAATAGAGGATCATACAAATTTTGAGCTAGTGGTGCTAAGGGTTTAGTGAAATAGCTGACTGGGTATTTCTCACTCAACCTTTCACTTTTTGCTTGTCTCAACTCATAGATAAAAAGAAAATGCTAATGATCACAGGAAATAGACCTTGCCATTTTGCAGGACTATGCGCTGACCTATGACTCACCAAGGGAATGCAGAGTCCTGCACTCCCTCACACACACTCACACACAGCAAGAGTTTCAAGCCACTACCCACATTCCTGTTGTCTCCCACTTACACAGTCATGCCCTCTCAAATACACAAAAACACACATAAACTAGTATTTTGAAAAGATTAATAAGTAACTACCTAGCGACCACTCAGAACACCCCTAGCAGTACCCTAACAACCATCTTAAACATTTTAGAAGCTCCACAGCAACACATTGGTTGTCACCAGGAATACCCTTGTGACTGTGCTTTTTCGCATTTGGCTCCCAAACTCTGGAATAGCCTTCCTGATAACGTTCAGGGTTCAGACACACTCTCTCTGTTTAAATCTAGATTAAAGACACATCTCTTTGGCCAAGCATTCAAATAATGCATCTCATAATCTTTTACTGCAGTTATATCTAATCAAATGCACATTATTATTCTTTAGTTTGGGTTAAACAAATCAATTTTGCTTGGTTGGAACAGCAGCTAAGCTAATTATGTTTGTATTTGGTTCTCTGTCTTTTGCCACGGGATGTCAGGATTTACACAAGCTTCAGTCTGGATCCAGAACACCTGAGAAGAGATGATGCAACCCCTCAGAGGACCTCAGATGATGCCAACCCTGAAACAACTTACAGAACTACCACATTTTGCTATAAGTTTGATTGCATCATATAATAATTGCTGTTAATATTATTCATTGTCTGTTTTATTACGTCTTAAATTGATTTTTCCGTTCTGCTGGTTCGTCTGGTCAGAGGAGAACTGGCCCCCCGACTGAGCCTGGTTTCTCCCAAGGTTTTTTCTCCATTCTGTCACCGATGGAGTTTTGGTTCCTTGCCGCTGTCGCCTCTGGCTTGCTTAGTTGGGCACACTTCATTTCCAGCGATATCGTTGACATGATTGCAAAGATATTATTTAAACTGAGCTGGATGTTGACATCCCTGAATTCAATGATGAACTGTCTTTAACTGAAAAATTAGTGTTTACTATTGTCATTTTGCATTATTGACACTATTTTCCTAATTAATGCTGTTCAGTTGCTTTGACACAATCTGTATTGTTAAAAGTGCTATATAAATGAAGGTGACTTGACTTGACTGTGCACAGGCTTCAATAAAAGGGAAAATAAACAATATATTGAATTTTTTAATTCTATAATAATTGCATTTATCTTTTGAGATAATTATGTGCCAATATGTTGCTCCATGTACTTTAAATTTAGAGTTGTCGAGAGAATACAGTAGGGCCCATAACATAACCCTGGGGGACACCCATTAAAAAAATGGACTGGCCAATTGTGTACCTCTAATCTTTGCTGTGATTGTCCAGATATTATGCTTGCACTTACATATGGAGAAAGTCAGGTAAAGATCAAACTTAGATGGGAGAACCTTCAGGAAGAACAACCTTCTCAAAAGGACGTTGTCAATCAGCTATTTATGGCGGAGTGGTTGGATGGACAATGGACATTACTTTTAGAGAGGCTAATGACAAACCCCCTGGAGTTTGACAAATGGCTTTTACAGGACCCTGAGAGCATGAGTTAAACATTCTCTCCCCTGATGAGACAGGAATTGAGGTCTTTGGGGTAAGAGATGACTCATATTATATTACTCTTTCCATTGCTCACAGGTCCCAGTCCTGCCATAAATTCTAAGGTCAGAGAGATTTGTGGCACTGCCCTGTGAAGTGTTCATTCCTGTCAAAAGTTATTTGACTAGCAACAACTGTTTATTTTTGCTAATGCAGTTTTGTCCATGTTTAAGAAATATTTTTGACATAAAAATGTTTGATACATGAAGTAATTTGTTTTTGTGACTAATTGATTTACCTTAATCATTTATTTTATCTCAAGTTTTCAATAGGCCTATATGCTTAAGATATTAACCAATTCTGCTGGTGAAAGAAACTATTCATGACACTGATCAAAATTATAGGCCAAAAAAGTAAATAAAGAAAATAAATTGTAAAATCTGCCAATCATTTCATTCCTTGTAAACAAATTATACTGATTCTTAAGACTTTTATTTATTAATATTTTAATCAAGAACAAACTGTGAAATATTAATGAATGTGGAAAAATTGCTTGAGAGGCAAGTTACCAAAAAAGTACTATCTACAAATGTCATTGTCACGATGCATTTCTCAGCAGGAAATAAAAAATACAATAATTTGTGCCTCTGAAGCATTTTTTTCTTTTTATGCATTATACTCTTACACTCTAATTTTTAAATATTTTTAATTTTACAGATATTTATAGGTTTAAATATTTGATTATTTAATGGACAAAATTGGGCATTTGGTTTTCTGAGCTACTGAGTGCCTTGAGTTCATTGAAATCATATATTAGTGGACCGATGATTGCATTGCTTTGATATCATATAGGGAATTCTGAAAGAATTTTAAAAAAA